ATATTTAACTTTACTCTGTCAATTTACAAACTATATAAGAATAAGAAATATAAAATATAAATAAATATATTAAAACAGAATATAATTTCTCCATTTTTTTAACAATAATTAGTAGACTAAATTTTTTTATTTAAATTAAACACAATTTATAACTTCTTAAGAAGTAATTTTAAAGTCTATAATAATTTCTTTCTGCGTAATCATAACTTGGGGCATAAAGCCTTCCTCGTAATGTCCCTCCATCATATTTTTCCCCACAGACGCTCAGGGCATTTAGCATTCATGAGATAATAACAACAGAAAAAATATCAAAAAAAAAGCAAGTGGACAGCAATAAATGATTTCGGGGCCATGCCGAAACATGTCATGATTCTTGGTATTTTTTGTTTTTCCTTCTCTAACACAACACTGCGTATACGCAATCGTAAGTGAAAGTCGGTGTTTAGTCCTTGGGCTATGGATAATTTGGGTTAAGCTTACCCACACACTCATCACACACATATGCTTGTGGCATAATATTTTCGGCCAATTTTTACTTTGATCCATTTTATGGTTCTGTTTTTTTTTTTCGTTTGTTTGGCTTTTTATTAAAAATAAAATGTTTTATTTGACTAACTTGTTTATGTTGGGCCTTAAAGCTGACCCTCCCCAGGAAAAGGTCCCAACTGGAAAAAGGGTTTCTGATTGTGCGTATCAATTTTTATGGGCAGGGAGATGTGGATTAAACGCTGGATGAGTGTGAATAGCATAGGAAATGAAATTCTTATCAGGCCATTTGGGGATTTCCCCTGTTAAGTGAGATAGCAAGTGGTTGGGTGTTATTTAAGTGATGGAAAATTAAATGTATTAAAGAGGTACTTGGTGATGAATCAAAATACCATAAATTAGGAAAAAACTTTTAAATGAAAATCAAAAACGTTTTAAACGAATAAACCTGTATTTATTTATGCCGATGGTTTTCTAGATGTTATTATTATATTGTGATTATTATATGTTACATTTTTTCACATATTGGAGGGATACCTTTTAATTAATATTTTAAAGCCTTTATTATGTAAAATATTAAATAATAGCATTTTAAGAACTCTTAAATACTTGAAAAAACGTACAAATAGGAAAATGTGTTAGAACAATCTAACTAAAAGTTTCAGCTCTCTCACCTCATTGTAACTCAATCAGATACAACTTTTTCAACACACCGCTCCCGATCCCAAACACTTTCACCTTTAAGAACCGTCACAGCAATTTTCCAATGCCCCCCGGCCCGCTTTTCCCTTACCAAACAACGAACATGCCCCACGATAATTGAATTATGAAACATCATTTCGCTGTCTGCGTTAACCATAAACGCATTAAGTTCGCGTTAATGAAGAATTATGCAGATGATGTCCAGGTCCTGACCCCAGACTAGACTTCAATACAAAGGCGCGGCGGGAGGAGAAATATAAACGAACCTATAAAAGCCTTGGCCATTAGCAAGTCTGGTCCATTAAAACTGCACACACAAGGGATAAAGGAGCTGGGAAAAACTTCTGCAGTGAATTTGCTGAATTATTAATTAACCTCAAACAATTAAAAGTGAGATATTTAAAAAATGTTCGTATAATTAAGCGATGCGCAAGAAAAGGATGGGTTTTATAAATCCTTTTAAGCGGCCAAGGAATTCGTTGAAGGAAATGGTTGGAGGTTTCGAGACCGATAAACAATGTAGATTGTAATTAACTTGACCGGCCCTACCTGCCCCCCGCCCCGTGCCCATTTTCCACCCATTTTCCGCCTGCATACAAATGTGGGTGGCAGCGACTTAATTGCATGCACGAAATGCAGGACCCGAATGAATGACATTCATTTTCGATTCGCTTCCACTGTCTTTGCTGCACTTCCGTTTTGCCACACACACACAGGAAGGCAGCCAAAGGATTCAGCAAGGATAAAACTTTGACGGCGGAAAATGGAAGGTAAAAACCGGGAGGGAAAATGCATAAGGGGACATCAATGTTAAGCAATTGGGTCGCCCCTCTCGAATTTCATAAAGCATTCTCATTGAAAATAATTAAAATGCGTCAAGCGTTCAAAATCAAGCAGCGTGGAAATTTAATTGTATTGAAACGCAGGGAGAAAACCTCACCTGATCCCTACTATTTTTCCCCATTTTCTCGCCCCTCATTCTCCATCCGAATGAATTGGTTCCATTTGGCAATTGGGGCAACAAATGAGTTTATTTTTTTCTTCTTTACTTTCACAGTTGACCGAGTCGCGAATGAATAAAGCAAATATGGAAGTTGAGTGCGATAAATGCAATTGATCAAAGGGAGAAAAACAAAAAGGTCTGGAAACTACTGAAGAAATGGGTAAAACAAGCGGCTTAAGCTTAAGTTTTAAAATTTATATGGTTTGATTGTGCTATTATTATTATTTTAGAGTCAACTGCAATGATGGTTACTAAAGACATACTTAAATTAAAGCAAATGCTTTTATATGAATTTTCCATAAATTTCACCTGTTTTCTCTATGATTAAAATTCTGCTCCTCTCACCCACGCAATTACAAATAAAGGCTTAATTTTCATATGCATATAAATGTTGCTTTCCGTGTTTTTTCTCATTTATGCTCTACTTTACAGCGGACACATGCTACTTTTCCCATGGTCAAAGGAAAATGCGGACAGAGCCCAAGGCCACGGGAGTACAGTGAACACTGAATGGGTAAACGGAGGTGAGGCGTGGGCATAAAAACCCGCAGCTGTCATTGGCAATAAAAATAATAACACCCATAGAGTGCTCAAAAAGTTACAAAAGCAACAACAGTCAAACATTTTCAATGGCTCGACGTTTTTTATCAATCACAAAATAAACACTCAACAATGGATGGGGGCGAGTATATGTTTATGCATTTCCTTTTCAATACAATCCATTTTTTGTATTATCATATTTATTTATAGGTACTACATATGCCCCACAGGAAGCTGTAAGCGCCATTCCCGTTTCACTTTGATATTGTTCAACAGCAAAAATACATAAAACAACATTTTTAATTTTCACAGGAGCATATTCCTCCGTCAACCTCTCTGCCATAATTGAAGTAAAAGCCAACGCCATTTGATTATTTGTATATAAATAAAAAGAATTGCGATTTTTTTACGATTTGTTTGTAATGGAATCAAGCAACACAAGAAACAAGATGTAAGTAGAAGGCTAAAGAAAGAACTCCCTCCTCCAAACATCAATTTTTCATTTTCACCGAGGAAAAAGAAATGAAAAGTCCACAAATATATGGCAGTCTCATAAATAGGAGACCAGAAATCAATTGACAATTTATTGTTTGAAACATAAAAAATGAGCGAGTCTAAGTTGAGCTTGGAAAGGATGTTGGTTGGGAGCAGGCAAAAATCTATATTGAATTACGAGCCAGCTAACAAAATGTCAAAATAATAATAATAAAAAGACGAAATGACGAAAAAAGAAAGTAAATAAAAAGATAGGAACAGCTGCAATACCCTATAAATTAAATTTTAAGTAAGTAAGTAAGTATGTCAAAACTGAAGAAACGTATTAATTTTTGAAGTATTTAAAAATTTGGACACAGTGATGCTACATACAAAAAAAATGTATTCAAGTATATATTCTATTAAATATAAAATAATATCCATGGGTCTAAAATCATTAAAATATAAAATAATATCCATGGGTCTAAAATCATTAAAATATAGTTATATCATAGCTTAAGCTACCTTAAAAAATAATTCATTTGTAATAACGATTGTATGACGAAATTTCTATTAATGTATTTTTGAAATAATTATAACTAATGAACAATAGGTAATATTAAAATGAAGATAGCAAAATTCGTACACATTGTACATCAACTTTAAGAATGTAACACTCTTCCGAATGTAAAAATGCAAAAACGTATCTTTAAAATAAAACAACGTGATGTTGTTACGAGCCTTTTTTGCCAGTTGCATGGATTCAGTTACAGCAAATATACCCATTTGGCCATTATTTAAAGAGCATCCCATGACATAGACATATATGTATCATACACATTTATATATAAAGAGATATTGTATGTGCATTGCTTGACTTTTTGTGGCCATTGTTGCTCGGTCGGTGGCTGTTGTTGATGCTGTTGCTGTTCTCTGGTGTGCCCAATTGCCTTTAAATTGTACCGAGTGTTAAGTGGCGCACGTTAAAAAAACATTTAACGTTTTTATTTACGATACACCGAGTCGCCAACAACAGAAAGCGCAGATATAAAAAAATTGTAGGACCACCGGTGGAGGAGGCAGTGAAAGTGTTTTGTTCTGGCCCTGGCATTAGGGACTCGCAAAAAACATATATATATGTAGGTACAACAAAAATAAAAAGGATATTGGAAGCGCAAACGAATGGGAGGCTCAAAACGGGAGAAAAAAAATAAAACGGAAATTAAAGTTAAAATATGGCAGGAGTCTGAAAGGCAGAAAGAACGATTGAGGGTTAGAAGTGAAAGGGCGAGACAATTGCGAGTGGAAATGTGAAAATGGAAAAGCTAGCAAGTGCAAAAAGGTTTTGCAACTATGAGATATATGAAATTGAATACCTGACTATTGAACATGACTATTGATGTGGAATAAGTGGATCTGCATGTGTAGGTTTAAAATTTTAATAAATATCGTTTAGAAAAAAAAAAGTCTTTCAGGTTAAAAGGTTTCTCCAACTGTTATGAACAAATATATAAGTTCATCAAATTAAATAACATAATATAATCTAACATAAACAATTTCAATTAAGATTTATTCAAGCAATGCTAACTTATGGTTAAAAAAAATAATAGCTAATAAAGCTAAAGCCAATTATAAATACTTAAAAAGAGATAAATTGAATTGTATACTTTTAATGCAAGATTAAAAATAAATACATTTTTTTAAAATCATTTTTTTCATAACGCATCGAATTGCAAAAATTACTCTTTATATAATGGAAACCTTTTTGATTTTTGTTTTGAACATGCTTTCATTACTTTTCCACTACAAGTAGGCACAATGCTACTAGTTTTACTTTGTTCTACTTCAAAACAAGTTAATTATTTTCAAAAGAACAATCACGGCCATGTTCCCGGTTAGATTATCATTTTCCCTCCGTTTTCTGCTGCGCTGGGCTCACTCTTCCTCTGCGGATCTGCCAGTCCCACAACCACTCAAAGGAACTGATGAATTTCCCGCCAACAATAAACTAGAAACCCAAGGCCAAAACGAACTAAATAATGAACCGCGATTCATACGCCTCCAAAAGGATTTTAAACTCCATCAGTTGACAGAGGGCCCCCAAATGATGGTTCCCCTGAATAAAGTGGATGCCCTGCGGTACTATCGCCAACTGCTGGCCCTTCGTCGTTTGGAAACGGCAGCCTCGAATCTTTACAAGGAGCGATTAATACGCGGATTCTGTCATTTGTACACTGGCCAAGAGGCTTGTGCCGTGGGAATTCGGGCCGCGATGGGGGAACAGGATAAAATCATTTCAGGATATCGGATACACGGCTGGGCGTACATGATGGGTGTGTCTGCAAAGGGTATCCTCGCTGAACTTACCGGACGTTTAACAGGTAGCGTATTTGTATTTAAATTAAATACATGTTGATTTAGAATACACATTTTTATTTAGAAAATTCAAAAACTAGCTGGAAAGTATTTGAAAGATGGATCAGTAGCTTTAGCTCTCTATGGCGACAGTGCTGCTAATCAGGGGCAACTTTTCGAGACCTTTAACATGGCGCAACTTTGGAAACTACCCATCATTTTCATATGCGAAAACAACAACTATGGTATGGGTACAAGTTCAGATCGATCCTCCAGCAACAGTGAATTTTACAAACGAGGGGATAAACTACCAGGTATTCAAGTAGATGGGCAAGATATTTTGGCAGTAAAAAGTGCAACTACATTTGCCATACAACATGCCAAAGAAATAGGTCCTTTAATACTGGAACTTAAAACCTATCGGTATGTTGGTCATTCCATGTCGGATCCTGGGACGAGTTATAGGAGTAGAGAGGAAATTCAAAAAGTTCGATTGGAACGAGATCCCATAAAGAGTTTTCAGCAGGTTTGTATGGAATCTATGAACGTTTCTCTAGATGAAATCAGGGAACTGGATGAGCTGGTGAGAATTGAAATTGAGGAGGCCACACAAGCAGCGAAAAGTGATGAGGAACCCAATTTACCACACCTCTGGAGCTATGTCTACTCGGGTTATTATGAAGGATACTTAAGGGGTATCAGAGGGCAGCCATTGAAACATAAAAGATTGCTACAAACAGATGACTCGAGAGTTGGCACTAAATCTTAAAATTCGTAGTTTAAGACAACAATCTTAAAATAATTTTAATATAATATAAATAGACATAAGCCCTTCCATTTTGTAAGAAAAATCTTAATTAAAATTTTGTTTGACTCATGAACCAAACTCAACACTTTCTTGGATTTTCTATCTTTGAGAAATCAAAACTGTCTTTAACTTTGAACCCTGCACATCCTCATCATAACTTTCATTAGCACTTGTGTGTGCTCTATTTAATTTATGCTAAATGATCAACGGCTGCTGCTTATGTCTACGTTTTATTTTTATTTTCCCGGCAAAACGAAAACAATAATTCAGGACTGCGAGCTGCTGCTGAAACAGCAGAAAGCGAAGAAAAAATTGTAACGGCTCAAGAAAAAAAATGAAAAAAAGGGTAAGCAGGAAAAGGAAGTGTACACACAGACATACACACGCATGTGACCCATTGGAGGCAGGCCCTGGCTTCCCCCTTCTCGCCCACACCCACGCACTCATTTGCCTTTGCACTCACGTCTGTGTAATTTATGCCAAAAAACAGTATGCATTGATGTACCCTAGCAGCGCACAATTGAAATGGGTATTTAAGAATATGCCGGGTAAACTAAAATTAAGATGATCTTAAACAAAATGCACATCTAATAACAATAAATGCACAACAATAGCTAACAAGATAATTTTATGTTGATTTGATAAATATACGTTCAGGATATTAACTATTAATAATTTAGTAAGATACAAACAAAATTGCAATTAAATTAATCCTCACAAAAAAGATTTTATCTAAAGTTATTTCCCATAAAGTCTGGTTTAGTTTCCGAAAATAAATAAAATAAAAATAATCATTAGGGCAGATGTAATTTAAATTCTAAGATTTTAAGTTATTTAAAACATAACCTAACTTAAATATTATTCTTAATATGAAACACATATTTTATACAACAACATTTTATAAAATATTAATATTAATTTGCTGCTTATTGTTTGATGTATTTTTAACCTATTTTAAAAACAACCAGTTGTACTTACATTATACATTTTACATGGCTCTGTGGCCCCACTGCGGTAGAACACGGAAACACCAATAGCTTACTACATGAAATTACATTTTTTTTACATTTGTAAAGGGTTTAATGGCATTTGATTTTGATCGATAAGGCGTTCTCCCTTGACCTGCCTTATGAGCTAGCAAATAGACGAAAAATAATTAAATTAGCCACTGTCTGATAATTAAATTTCTAATTTGATAAGTAAGCCAACAATTCTTAGCTGAACTGTGAAAACCCAAAACCATTAAAGAAAGCCATAATTAAATTGAATTAAAATTCGCCTGCCCAACTCCTTGTCCACATTACATTCACCTCTTCAGGATTCCAAAGGGCTTTCGAGCAGGTGGGAGCCGGAAATGAGATATCACACACGACTAAACACACCTCCGAACAGGAAACAAGTGAAAGAAGCGTCGATGTACGGAGATAGTTATGAATAAGCACGTGTGGGATTATAGTTGGATAAGTGTTTTTTCGTTTGCCTTAAAACCACAGATTTATGAAAATTATTATTTAATTGAAGTAATGCAAAATGTTGACATACCTTTTGAATTCAAGGGGTTAAGTTTCTTGGTCAGCTAAATTCTTCTATACCGGATGAGTACTACTTTTATCATTTTGACTTTTTTAAGAAGTTAAAATGTATTAGATAAGGAGATTAAACAGAAAAAATCGCTATATTCGAAATATGTCAAATAAACCACTTCCAATCAATCTCGGTTAAAATGTACATGCAAATTTTTAATGAGTTTGGTTAGAGGAGATTTCGGTTATACTAACAATAAAGCACGTTTTTATTTAAAATTTCTGCTGCTTATCGTGCTTTGCCCCGTCCGAATCTTTCGCGATCTGGCAAGTTGTATTCTAAATCAGTAGTTAGTAAAAATCGCGGTTAAATGATGAGTAGAATGCACTTATAATAAGACCACTGCTTATCTTTCTTCGCTTTTTATCAAAAGTACGGATGTTAAAAAAACCGGGCTACATATAGAATATAGTTATCATATCATTTAGCTCTACCTCCCATTCCCGGGTCATATTCTCGAACCGGTTTTTAAAATAAATGGTATATGTGTATATAATTGTTTTTTTGCAGGTCGTTGTTGATTTCCAATTCCTTTTTAAAAGGAAGGTACGGATTGAGAAGAGGAGCTCCCCAAAAGTCAACGTTTACCGGCTTGACAAGATCAATAACAGTCAATGGTCTACAAAATAAATCCCACGAAAATCTCCTTCTCCAGTCGGCATGAACAAGATGTAGTGGTTTGCAATGTAAGTAGCAAATTTTGGCAAGGGGGCACGCCGTTGATTCGATTCTAAACCGCTTATCTTGCCTTAGCCTAGTTCTTCTTCGGGAGTAGGGGTGTAAAACAAAACCCGGCAAGATGGTAGTAACGCTCACCTCTAGAAAAGATCTATTTCTTTTTTTGGTCTACTTACAATACAAATCCCGTTAAGAACACCTTCTTCATCTTCATCATAAAGGGTTGGCAATAAATGTGTCTATTTTGTAGGTGTATTTTTTAAGTAGTAGCTGTTTCCCAATGAAGCACGCTGTTTATTTGAAATTAAAAAAGAACTGGATGCTATATTTCGTCGTCTTATCTTGGCTTTGTCTTGATCCGAGTCGAGTGTACGGATACAAGAAACCGGCTAGATGGTGGACTCCATACACAGATGTCAGTGGTGCACCCAGTGCTCCTCGGCTGTGGACAATATCTACTTCCTGTTCTGGTTGTTGCGGGCCATGTCCTTGGGGAAGGAGCGCAGTGGGGGCGTGCGGATGCGGCGAGCCTCGCGGGAACGGTTACGCACCACTTTGGAGTGGATTGCGCAGGACACGCAGTAGTGGAGCTTCGCGTAGAGCTTGGGCAGGACGTAGGAGTCCCAGATGCTGGCCTCGGTGATGTCACGGACGGCGGCAGCCTCCACGATGTTGCGGATGACGAACTTCTTGATCGCCTTGTCCTTGGGCACGCAGCGGGCGCAGTTGGTGCAACGCACGGGCTTCACATGGCCGCGGTTGTGCTTGTTGCGTCCTCCGTTACGGCGCTTCTTGGTCATCTTGCCGGCTGTTTTTCAACGAAACCAAGTGCATCGTACATCCATTAGCATTTTTAATTCATCTTGCGGTGCGGATGGCTGCCATAATTACCTTATTTATCGATTTCAAAATCCGCCCAGCGAAATCCGCGTGTGTTCACGTTTCGGGAAACGAAAAGAAAGAAAATAGTGTGGACGCACCCGGCGAAACTCGATTAATGGGGCTAAAAAATCACAAAGCGGGTAACACAGTGTGGTTGGCAACGCGGATCAGAGTGGCCAGGCTTTCCACCGATGTAAAGCTGTTTCCAGCGTGATCTTTGACTAAAAAAGCTAATATTACAGCTGGAAATAATTTCGGAGCACTAAATTAAAAGGAACAATATTATTTAATAAAATAAAAAGTTCAATTTTATTTTCATTGTTTCAACAAATTCAACTATTTTAAATGAGCTTTAGGCCTCTAGCGGCTCACCCTTAGGTAAATTAAATTGGTAAATAGTCATTATATAATAGCAATATTTGCACTTTGAAATACCATTTTTGGATATTACAAAATTTAATAATTAAATAGTTGCCTACATACATGGAAGTCAGATTTTAAATTAAAAGCAGCTTTGTTAGCGGACTAGACAATGTGGTTGGCAACTTGTCATTCTGCTTTTTTAGCGGGAAAGCTATTTTATTATAGTAAATATTGAAATAAAACCGCTGTATATTACAAATGACAAATCCAAATTTGTGTGCTTTTTATTTAATAAAACAATTATTCATTGTTAACATATTTTGAATTTAATTTCGTTTAGTAAAGAGGTCGTTATTAATTAACATGCTACTTTTTGACTAATAACGAAAAATACAACAGCAGCCTTGTTAGATAATAATAATAGATTATTTATTTATGGTTGTTTATTACTTATTAAATTATATTTTATTATAAATACAACTTTCTTTGACCTTCCTAATTAATAGTTAAATTTTCCAGCGTATTTTTTTTACCTTATTTGTTTTATGAAATGTATTTGCAGTCACTCGAATGTAATCATCTAATAGATAGATAGGTATTTTATCTATGGTCGAAGCTGTCTTATGTAGCATTCTTAAAAATGTACACATTCATAAAATAAATGTTTATAGGTTGCTGTTAAATTTATTACAAATATATGTCAAAATATTACAATTTGTTTTAAATAAGTGTAACTTAAGTGGCTGCTGTCAATAAAAAATAATATAAACCCCCAAAACCATTTCTTATCTGTACATTTAAATGTTGTGGATGTCTCGTTTAATTAAACACGTGTCATTTATTTTTTGACATTTGCATTTTGTACATTAATTTTTGTTTTATCAGCTTAGTGGGGTTTTCTTTGTACACTTGTATAAGTAAAATATTCAACACAAATATTTCTCCGTCTCGGCCTACAGTCTCCAAGTTTAGCCACGCCCCTTGGAACGGTGTGAACTGCGCTCCCTATGCGGGCGGTCACGGGATCGGTCTCGGTCACGGGATTGAACGCGTTCCCGGTCACGCTGTCGTTCACGTTCCCGTTGGCTTTTGAGATCCCGTTCTCTGTCACGTTCCCGCTCCTTTCCCCGATCACGTTCCTTTTCACGACCATTGCGATCTGACCTCTCCCCACGATCTGACCTTTCCCCACGATCTGACCTCTCATCTCTGGAAGAACGCTCTCCACGTCGGTCGTCCATTTCACCACGACTGTTTCTCTTGGCTCGTCTTTCGCGCGGCGAAGAATTCTCTCTTCTGCGTGATTTTTCATAGGAAAGTGATCTATCTCGTTTTCTCTGTCTATCATGGGAGTTGGTGTTCTGGACCTTGCGTTCTCTGTCTGATGAATTATTTCGGTTTCTTTCTCTATCGTAGAAAGAATTGTCCCGATTTCTTTCTCTGCCGTATGAAGAATTCTCCCGGTTTCTGTCTCTTCCTAAGGAATTATCTCTGCGCCTTTGTCCATTTCCATTCGACTGATAACGATGCGGTTCTCTGGACACAGGACCTTCCAAGTTAAATTCATCACTGTCTTGCTGTTGACCTCGGGATCTGTTGTTTCTTTGAACCTGATCCTGGCGTTTAGTCTTCGGTTGAGGCTCCGCGTCACTTTCTTCGCTAGAAGAACTGGAGGAAGAAGATTCGGTTGAGGACTTTTCGCCATCTTCGCTGCTGCTGGAACTTGAGCTTTCTTGACGTTTTCTCTTGAGCTTTGATTTCTTTTTGGCTGCCTTCTGTTTCTCCTTTTCGCGTTTTTTCTCTTTCTCATTTTCCTTCTCTCTCTCCTTTTCCTTTTCCCTCTCCCTTTGCTTCTCCTTTTCCCTTTCCTTTTCTGCTTTCAGTTTATCCTTTTTCCTATCTTTCTCTGCCTTCTTTTTCTTTTCGGCCTTTTTGTTCTTAGCCTTTTTGTTCTTCTCCTTACTTTCCTTTTTTGATTTATTTTTTTTCTTGTCCTTGCGCTTTCGTTTTTTCTGGGGTTCTGAGCTGGAGTCGGAACTTGAGGAATCACTAGAAGATTCGGAGCTGGATTTGTCTTCATCACTAGAGTCTTCGCTGCTGCTGTCTGAAGATGAAGATGACGAGGAGGAGGCCGAAGGTGGGGCTATCTTAGAGTTTGCCGAGGGAGCAGAGCCATCTCTAAAAGGATTACCTCCGGAATTGACCAGGATTTCTGCATTGATTGCGGGCACAGCCTTAGGGGCATTCTTCAGGAATCTTCTCAAATCATCCGTCAGTCCACCCAAGCCAATGGAGGTGAAGAAATTAATGGAGAAGCGGGTGTTCCTAGGATTATCCTTGGGAAACAAACCAGCAAGGCTTTCAACCAACACATCTTCCTTTAGCTTTGTATTTAGTTTGCCCAATCCCATATACTCAGCCAACTCCTGGAATAGGATTTTGATGAATATCCTGCTTGATGACGTGGTATCATCCTCATTCAGTTGGATGCACTCCAGCACATCCCAACTGATGGCGTCTGTAAAGAGTAGGTGGGCAAAGAACTTGCTGACGTTTCTTAAGCGATTTGTATCCAATCTGTGGGTTGTTTGATAGGTGTCCTTAAAGATCTCCTCAAAAGGCGGTATATAGATCTTGTTGATGTTGCAGAACCGCTGGGCAAGTAGTCCATAGAATTTCTCATAAGTTCTCTGTTCGGCACAGCAATCGAGGAACATGTGGCACAGTTCTATTTCCTGCCCGGGTTTCAGTTGCATTTTCATCAGTTTGTGGGCACACTCTTCATAATCCAAGCTGGAGTTAATCGTTAAGTAAATTGTGCGTCGCAGGGCAATCAGATTGGTTTCAGTGTTGTCGATGATATCGCCACCTTCGGTTTTCTTTTGGTTTTCCGCATCTGATCCGGATTCACCGTCCGAATCGCTATCCGAATCTGATCCGGAACCTGACCCTGAACTACTGCCATCATCGCTGCCTAAGATCTCGCGACTTAGTCCTTTGTATTTGTCTTCGTTCTCGGCATAGTTATCGTCAAATTTAAAAACATCTGGAAACAATTAAAATAAAGGGATTAGAGTACGGGATAAACGCATATTCATGGTTTTATTTACTCAGTATATCCTCCGTTTCGGTGGCCTCGTCTAGCATCATCAGATGAGTAAACTGATCGTCCTCCTCCACAAGTTCCAGTTCCGATACAACAGCCTGATGATCCTTAAATCCATCTTTTCGAACCTGGAACAGCACTTCGATCATATACTGCACTCGCTTGTCCAACTTTCCCTCATGCAGGATGTTCCTCAGCATCTCGAAGATGGCTCCAATGCCTTTGGAGGAAACCTCTGTTAGTTTCATGCCACACTCCTTGAGAAAAGCGATAGCGACCTCTACAGAATCATCCGTCGGTGTTTCCACGAGCAGGGTGAGGATCTCTAAGGCCAGAATTTCATGGGCCACCCGCTGGTTGACCAGGTGTCCAATGAATCTGGTGGCCGACATGCATACCAACTTATCATTACGGCGGAACGCTCTACGAAATTGGATGACCAGACGTTTGAGGAGGAGCTCTCCTATATTCGGAAACTTTGAGTTTATAATGCTCACCAGAGCCGCATAGACATGGGTGAAAGTGGGCGAAGCTGCCTGTGCTTGGATAATACTCCTGCTGAGTAAACCCCTTCCCCTGACGATATTTTCTCTTAAAAGCTCCCTGGTGATGATAGCTATATTTGTTACATTTACTTTGTTAATGTAACCATGGATGGATTTCTTAAGGGCCTCCCAAGCGATTCTCTGGTAGGCAGCGGAGGCTTTATCCGTGATCTGTGACTGCATCAAGCGCAGCTTAGCTGGTGGAATATAAGCTCCTCCTGTCTTGGATGTCAAAACATCTACAGTCTTTCTTTGACGCTCTGTAATTTTGGCAGCGGGCTCGGTTACGGTTTCGTTATCTGCGTTGGTTGGTTCAGGGTTGCGAGCAGTTTTGGAGGACTTGGATCCAGGGCTAGAGGTAGATCGATCTCTTTTGCGATCCGAGGACCTCTTTCTTTCCCTGGAATCATCTCTACGCCTGCTGCTGGATTCGCCACGCTTTTGATGGCGCTTTTCTCGCTCCTTAGCCCTTTCCTCATCGCGCTTATCCCGCTCCTCATGACGTCTCTGTCGCTCCAGTCGTCTTCTCTCCAAGGAGTTGGACCTTCGGCGGATGGGACTATTACTACGGCTGCGGGTTCTACTGTTTCTGCTCCTCGAGCGACGACGCTGTCGGCTGCGGGGCGAAGGACTTCTGCTCGATGATCGTGGCCGTCTGCGCTTCTCATCCTGGCTAGGGCTTCGATGGCGGAGGGTCTCTTTGGATGGACTACCCTTGGTGGCGACGGTTTTCTCACTCTCCTTAGCAGGTGGCACATCATCGTCGTCTTTCTGAAATGGGGATAAATTGTATAATAAATTAATACAAGCTTCAAAAAACTGTACGTTTATCTAATCAATAATAAATAAAATAATAAATCAGCTTTTGTCTCAAATTTTATCCCATTTTCGAAACCAAAATTGTTGTATTCAATTATGAAGAGTGTATCAGCCTAATATAAAGTCAACTCTTCAACAACTACAACCAATATACTCTACCAATTTTCAAAGATTAATATAAAGAGATTAAAGAGAACCTCTTTAAAAAAATGTTAATAGAAATATTAGTTGTTTTTTTAATTTGGAATTTTACGCTTTTCCAAGAACCTAAAAAGCCTTTGGTTACCATAGATATCAGTATTGTTTAAGTATTTTTGTCCGCAGAGATTAAAACAAATGTAGATCGTCCAATAGCATTTCTATTTTTTCTCGAAGGACTTAATTATTTTAAGAATATTCTCATTTTTCAAAAAAACTACGGTTACACACACATATATGAATTTCAATAATGATGAAATGAATCCCTTAAACGATACCGAAATCTACTCAATATTTAAAACAGGATTTGAAATGATATTACTTACATCGATAATTTCGCCCTCCTCGATGTGCTTGTCCACTGTGGAAGGTTCCACTGTAAGGGCAGATGTGTTCACTGGCGATTCATTGCCGCTTCCATTGGTGGTCACCGGCTGCTCTGTTACTGTACCCTGCTCTTCTCCTTCTTTGACAGCGTGCTCTTCTTGGGAATTCGGTTTTTCCAGCTCTTTAGTCACACCTGTGGCTTCTGCTTCTTCGTTTCGTTGGGCAGGTGTTTCTATTGCTGCTTTTTCTACTTTTTCCGGTTCATTTAATTTCTCAGTTTCCGCTGCGACAGCTGCTGCTTCTTCTTGCCGCTTTTCCACGCCAGCAGAATGCGAATTTTTTATGGGCTCGGCTTCCACTGGATTTTCTCGCTGGGAAGTGGGATCCTCATCCTTTTTAGCTCCTTTCTCCCTATCGCCATCCTTCTCGTTGTCCTTATTTTCAGGTTTATTCGCATCTTTGGCGGATTTCGCCTGGGCTGCTTCCTCTTCCTCCCGCCCGCTGCTCGAGGAAGACGAGGATTCGCTCCTGGCGTCGCTGTCGCTGCCACTGGAAGTGCCGCTGCTGCTGGAACTGCTGCTAGAATCGCTCTCGGCATCGCTTTCCCCCATGGCGCGGTTAATTCGGGAAAATTGTTGGGAAAACAACGATGAAAATTTGGTGGAGAGCAAAAAACACAACGCGGCGATAGATTCTCGAGTGAAATCCCAAACGCCTTCGCTTGCCGATAAGATCTCGTGTGCCTTTAAATATCGATAAGATATTAATTTCGATATATTATTAAGTGGATTCAGTATTTTTAATAAAATAATAAACAAAGGAAATATTTTTTAAAAATAAATATTATATTATTTATTTTTGACTAATTTCACTTAATTTTAAGCTTTTCGACCCATTTTCATGTTGTTATTTATAATTTTCCGATGTCTTGTAAAAGAGTGAGTTAAAATTGGACTTCGAGAGTCCATAACTTTACCAAACTTAAGCCGATTCCAAAGTGGCATACCTCTAATGATTTGTGATTCGATTCTCTAAAAATCTGCATTCAAAATTTTCAATTTAACGTTGATCAAATTTTTGACCCATTTTCATGTTGTTATTTCTAATTTTCCGATGTCTTGTAAAAGAGTGACTCAAAATTGGACTTCGAGAGTCCATAACTTTACCAAATTTAAGCCGATTCCAAAGTGGCATACCTCTAATGATTTGTGATTCGATTCTCTAAAAATCTGCATTCAAAATTTTCAATTTAACGTTGATCAAATTTTTGACCCATTTTCATGTTGTTATTTCTAATTTTCCGATGTCTTGTAAAAGAGTGACTCAAAATTGGACTTCGAGAGTCCATAACTTTACCAAATTTAAGCTGATTCCAAAGTGGCATACCTCTAAAGATTTGTGATTCGATTCTCTAAAAATCTGCATTCAAAATTTTCAATTTAACGTTGATCAAATTTTTGACCCATTTTCATATTGTTATTTCTATTTTTCCGAAGTCTTGTAAAAGAATGACTTAAAGTTGGACTTTGAGAGTCCATAACTTTACCATATTTAATCCGATTCCGAAGTGGCATACCTCTAAAGATTTGTGATTCGATTCTTTAAAAATCTGCATTCAAAATTTTCAATTTAACGTTGATCAAATTTTTGACTCATTTTCATGTTAGTTATTTATAATTTTCCGATGTCTTGTAAAAGAGTGACTTAAAATTGGACTTCGAGAGTCCATAACTTTACCAAACTTAAGCCGATTCCAAAGTGGCATACCTCTAAAGATTTGTGATTCGATTCTCTAAAAATCTACATTCAAAATTTTCAATTTAACGTTGATCAAATTTTTGACCCATTTTCATGTTGATATTTCTAATTTTCCGATGTCTTGTAGAAGAGTGAATCAAAATTGGACTTCCAGAGTCCATAACTTTACCAAATTTATGCCGATAATGCAGCGCAATATCGACATAGCTTCATTCAGTCGGTTTGTAATAACTGCAAGGGTATATAAACTGCGGCTTCCTCTCTTGTTATTGCTAGCATTAAACTCGCCCATAACTTTCTTAAAAACAAATATATAACTCTGAGCACTTTCGCAACAAAACAACTAAATTTATTTTAGTTTACAAATTGTTTATCCATAGTAAATACTTTATAAAATAGGCTTTAATCACGACAGGTTAAACTAGAAAAGAGACTTATTCCAAAAGCCACTAAGCCTTGCTGTCCGGTTTGGGAGGAACGGTTTCGGGTATCGATGGCGACACATCATCGTCGCTGGAAGACGAGGACGATGACGAGGAGCTGGAGTCATCGGCCTTTGTTCGCTTCTCGGGAATCGTGTAGGGGAACTTCTGGGACTTCTCCTCTACCGCCTGTTTCAAGCGGAGCAGCGCTGTCCTATTGATATTCTCCAGCGAGACATCCTTAATGGCATTAGCTAGCGCATCCATGGCCTTGTCGGAGTTTCCCTTCGTCGTCTGGATGTCGATTAGGCAGGAGTAGGCATTTCCAATTGCTCCCTCCGAGATTTTACTGTTCTTCAGCTGGGAAATGACCACGGAGACGAGTTTCTCGTCCTGCTGCTCCCGTGCTGTCTGCAAAACGCGCTGGAACATCAATCTTGGGGCACTCGACAGGTGCTTATCCCAGATCTCCTTGGAGGCTGCCTCTTGGCCGCTGGAAATGAGATGCATCCACAGGACATTCATGGGACCCAACTGATTTTGGGCAGCAAACTTCTCGGCCAGGGATTGGTCTGCAAAACAAATTGACTTTTAATTTTAGAATTTCTTAGATACTAATGGAAGACCTACATTGCGGCACCAATTCCGGGTGCTTGTCCAAAATGCCCACAGCTCCTCCTCGTGGGAACTTCTCGGCCAACTTGGTCACCTCCTCAGGTGTCTTGGCTGCATCAATTTCGGTGGTTAAGAGCTTGATGAACTGCTCTGCCTTTCCGGCCACTATATTAGCATGACAGTAGCGATTGTCAAACGAAATGAGACGCTTTTGCTCCTCGCTCAGCTGCTTGCCAATCCTCTCAAGCGTTTCCAAATCACCAGCAGCGGCAATTTTGTTCAGGTAAAACTTGAAGATCTTGGGCTGTGGGTGCAGCTTATCGCCCAGGAGTTCCTCAACGTATTTGGTAGCCTCGCTTAAACGATCAGCACGAACAAGGAGTTCAATTAGTCGGGAAGTGTCCAAGGCACCGACTTTCTCCCCACTGATAAAACTTTGTTTGTGGGATATGGCTGCATCGGGATCATTGGCCAGGATGGCTTTTCGGAAACCAGACAAATGGGAAACGGTTTTGGTTGGCGGAGTAGTCTTTTCCGCTTCTGTTTTAGTTTGTTCCTTCTTTGCAGTCTTCTCTTTCGGTTGATCTGCGATTTTGACTGTTTCTGTAGTTGTTTCCTTTTTTACCTGCTCTTTAGCTTTGTTTTTCTTTGCAGCGGCATGATCTTTCTGAGTTTCGGGCACCACAAAAGGCACATCAATGTTATTCCTCCTCAGGATTTCAGCCAATTTCAAGAGGAAAGCATCGTTGGGTGCCACAGACTCTTCCTGCATTTTAGTCCATAATCCAAGGGCCTTCTCCGCTTCATCAGATTTGTCGTAGCTTAGCAGCAGTGTGTAGTAAATCTTATTTCTATCGATGTGACCCAGGTCCTTTGTGGCTTCAATGAGACCTTCCAGAGGCTGCACTAAGCCCTCGTTCTTGTAGCGATCACAGGCACTGCTGATTCTCTGCGGACGGGTACGCAAGCCGGGGGTTTCCAGGATCTTCCTGGCCTGCCTAACACGACCGCACTCCACAAAGGAGAAAACCAGGTCGTAAAGGCTGTTAACTTCACCGTGAATTCCAGTACTCAAATCGGTTAATTTCTGCAGATTCGCTGCATCCTCTTTCTGGATCAAACGACAGGCAAGCTCATTTTTCCAAGGAGTTGATTTATGCTTCTGGCAAATCTCCTCAAAGGCTTCGATGGCCTTGGGAATATCATCCTTTACTAGGTGAACCTTGATAAGTGGGCCCAGAAGCACATTAGTGGGCACAACATAACTGCCGGCCACCAGAACATCAAATAATTTTCGCAGCTTTTCCGGTTGTCCAGCCTCGGCAATAGAATTCAAAATTCTCCACACGGTGCTCACATAATTAAAGCTTCCTTCGCTTTCGGCTATAGGAGAATCCTTTTTGTTATCCTCTAGTACTTTGAAGGCAGCATCGTCATTTTCCTCTTGCAGGAGGAGATCAGCCAGACGAACAGCCTTAAAGTTATCCAACTGGAAGTTTGCATCTTTAGCCTTCAGTTTTCCATAAGCCTCTAAAGCTTCAGAGCTTTTCTTGTGATGCGTATAGAGATCGATGAGCTGGGCATATATTCCAATGGGGATCTGATATTTTTCCGTCTCCAGTTTCTCAATGACCTGAAGGGTTTTGTCCAGGTTCTGGGAACGGAAGCAGGCATTCAGCAGTTGTCTTTTGATGTTATTGGCATTGTCGCCCTTGCTCTCCACATTTACTATGAATCGTTCGAGTTCTGCCAGAAAGTAAAAGACTATGAAAATATTTACTTAACAGAAATATGGAATATAACTCACCATCAATGGACAGCGAGTCCAAGCTTCTCTTTCCACTACTTGGCAGAGCAACTGGCTCCAGTTCACCGGAGCTCAGTTTTCCCAGAAGTTCGGAAATCCTTGGAGTCAACTCGGAACCCAATTGTTCAGATAACTGGGTGGCCTTGTCACTGCTAATAGACAATCCTTGGTTGACCAATCCCTTGAGGATTTTCTCCAGCATAGCCGCACGATCTCGTCGGAAATAAATGAATGCCTCATGGACGATTGCACCCACAACATCGGGAGTGACGCGTTCCGTGGGAGCGGCAGCACCGCCTTCCACTTGCTCCACTTCCTCCTCCTTGCCCTGTCTGAATTGCAAGCCCTCGTGAATTTGGCGGACACAGCGGATAAAGGAGGCGAAGTCATTGGTGTGGCTGAGGGCCAGGATTAAAGGTTGTTTGAACAAGAAAGGCACGTAGTAAGCCCTGTTCTGCTCCATAATCTTGGCTGCATCGGCTATTTGGTGGGTCACCAAGGCGGAGTACACAGCCGAGGTTACAGCAGTGGAGTTGGGAACTCCAGCATCCCTTAAAGCGGTGACAATACGCTCCCAGTTCTTCTCCTTCAGGTTGGGAATCACATAATCCCTGACCGTTTCGGAGTTGGGGAACACTGCAAACTCCTGCTGCATGCGACGGACGATTTCCAAAACTTGATTGGATTCCGCAGAACAGATCAGAGGCCAAAAGTAGTGCTGTCTGATGGGCAAACCGGCATTCTTCATCTCTTGCAGTAAGGGAAGGGCATTGTTAACCACTCCATTGGTCAGACCAGCTTCGGTGGCAATCGTCAAAGCCTTGGGATTAAGACCTTCAGCTTGCAGGGTCTTGCAGATGGATAGGATCTTCTCCACTGGCCGATTAGCCTTAACCATCTGCCTGATAAAGAAGGCTCCTACGTCCACGAGTTCGCCGTTTACACGACTGGTCCGCGGCATCACTCGCAGGAGCTTCAGACCCACATCCTCGTATCCCTTGTTGACCAAACGAAGGATGACATTCACTGCATCCTGATTGAAACCTGGCGACAGACGCAGCTTGGCCAGAATCTCATCCACATGTTCTCCATTGCCATTTACAGTGAGAGTGTACACGATATCAAGCAGATCCTTGTCCAGCAAGATTATCTCCTTTTGCTCGCATTCGGCTAAGGTGTCCTTCAGGGCAGCCAGATCTCCATGGCGAGCAAAGGCGCACAGTAGAGTCGTGTAGGTGTCCGCACTGGGCTCTAGTCCCGCCTGCTTCATCACTCCCAGGATGCCCTTGGCGGACTCCAAGTCATTGGCCTGAAAAGGTATTAATCTCTATAAACAATGTCTATTCTTTAAGGGGTAACGAAAACTCAAGAGATTTAAAATTGCTTCAAAATGTGTTTTGTTATCACATATTTTGATTCCCATCTTTAGAGATTTTTGTAGCAACATATTATTCTCCCACTCACCTGCGAGTGTCCCAGGATCAGAGAATTGAAGACATTCTCATTGACCGGCAGACTCTTTGCCCGCATGAACTCCAGAATCCTGGTGGCTCCCTCGATGTCTCCTTGCTGGCAATAGCGAGCAATCAAGCGCTGATAGGTCACCCTGTTGGGCTCAATACCCTTGGCCTCGATCTCCGCCAGAAAATCAGTGGGTGCGAAACCATGCTCGTTCTCCAAGTAGACTCGGAGCAGGGCATTGTAATGCGAGATGTCCATGGGCACATTCAGGGCATTAAGGGTCTTCCAGATCTCCTGTACCAACGCAGTTCTGACCTCCGGCAGTTCCTCGGGCACCAGGTTGCCGCAGCAGCGGATCACCAGCAACGATTGCGAGCTGGTGGCCGTCCTGTGCGTGCGAATCTCGTCGAGCACCTCCTCTAGATCCCGCCGGGAAATGCGTCCAGTGCGCCGGACATCCTGGTCCAGTCGGCGAATTTGCTTGTCGAGACTCAGCTCCGCTTTTGCTGCGGCATTTGTTGCAAATCCACTAAAGCGAGATCATAAAAAAACCATTATTTAGGAGTTACAAATTGTGTCATTAGCCATCCTCTATTTAATGTTTTTCCCATTAGACATTTTTTCATTTGGAAAGTAACTAAGACAATTGCCGGGGGCATAAATTAAGTTCCAATTAACACCTTCAGATATTAGTTTTTTTTTTTAACTTTCTATATAAACACTTATCTAGGACCAACTTAATATATGGATCCCAGGGGTTTTCCTTTCAGATGAGGTTATGTAAATATGTAAGACATTAGTTAGCTAAGATAACGCTGCATTTATCTGATATGTGTCCATATTTTCGAGTAGCAATCAATGGAAAATGACTAAACCCCCCAGTATTTACATAAATACTCGGATGCATTGCGTAATGCCGGCACTTCGTATGGTTTTTACTCACTTCTGGAACTGTCCGCACATGCAGGGCGCATTGTTCAGCAGGTTGCTAGTCTCGTTTTCGCGCACGGAGCTCACGACCACGTTTCTCGTGAGGCCAGCGAAATAACGCAGCAGTTTCCCCGTCCTTAGGATGGATGCCATTGCCGGATTGCTCGGTTTTAATTAATAAACTAAAGTTATTATTAAAATTCGTCCGCACGAGTCGAGGAGTAGAGGTGGAGAAACATCGATGATGACATCGATGTCATCTGTAATATCGATGTTTGGCTGGGGGTCATCGATGTTCTTCCACCTCTACAAAACAAATATAATGCGGTGGCGTTACTCGCTATCGGCGGAGCAAGTCCCCGCTAGCAAGTGATAATGTCACTTCAAATACAAATTTAAAGAACTGCGCAAAATTTTTATAATTTTGGAGAAGTGGCCAGAAAGCGCCTATATTTGCGTTAAACCCAAAGGTGATCGCACAGCCCTCACCTGAAGTCTACTAAAAACCCTCTAGATGACGCTATTTTAGTACTTACATTAATGTTGGTTCCAAAAACAACCACACCATGGGCCCAAAGTTGTCACAGGCAGAGGTATTTCATTGCATACTGTTGGGCTGGCAATTTTTGCAAATTAAATAAAAAATTATATATTTCGTGCAATTTAAATTTATATAAACGGTTTTTTTGTATTAATAAAGGTATTAAAGGTATTAAATAATACTAAAATAATAGATTTTTGTATAATGTAATTGTGCAAAATAGCAAAACTATATAAACAAATTAAAACTATAGTAAAAAGTTAATCAGATTGTATTTTTATTTTTAAAACAAGTTCACGGGTTTCGTAGAAAAAATAAAAAATATTTTTTCCATAAATTTAAACTTCATTATCTGCCTGGCAAATGAATCGAAAGTTTCTGTCACATGAGTCGAGATACATGTAACTTTCGAACACGGAAATGCAGCGTGGAAACTCCTTTGTATCGTCGGGTTCACCGGCTGACCACTTTAAAAAAGGACCTTTGCCGGAGGCTACAGATACGTAATCTCCCTTTTTCGCCAGATCGTTGACACCCAGCCAATAGGCGTATTCGGAATCGAGTTTCGAATTGATGACAGTAAACTCCTCCTCGCTTTTAATGGATGCTAGATGGCCGCCCATTTGGCGACATGTGTTTTCCGCATTAGTCCAATTTTGTTTGTTCAATCTACTTTGCTCGATATAGAAGAATCTTAAGCCAATTAGCTCAAATCTATGCGCGGCTATCGTTTTAACATTGCACTGTGTTTCCTCCCGGTTTTCCGTCCTTTTTGATTTGATCTCGAAATCCGGCAGGAGCAGCTTGTTAAAAGATTCCAGCAGAATGGCCTGCTGTCTTTCAACTCTGTCCAATCTTTCCTGGGTTTCATTAAAGCCAATCGTCAGCATATTCAAGTCATCATATAGGGATCCCAGAGAGGCAAGGCAGAATGTCGCACATTGAGCTGGTGCGTTTTCCAGAATACACACGGATTGCACGGGATCCTTACCTTGGGCCATCGATCCATATATATCCAAAGCAACAAATGTGTAGAAAATAGTTTTAGAATACAGGAACATGGTGCGACCACCGAGGGCAAAAGTGGGTAGTGAACTGATTTTGAATGTTTTATTCACATTTGGCACTGCCAAAAATTTATGATAAAATAAAAAGCGCCAAAAAAGGGGCGGGCTTGGCTTGATAAGTTCATAGTTCTCTGAAATTGTAGTAAAAAAATTAAAAACTAATCTCGACAATTATAATAAGGGTATTATAATTATAGTCAAAAGTTTGAAGTAATGGAGACATTTCCGACCAGTGAGTATATATACATATGTTCTTGATCAGCAGGCGAGTTGATCTAGCCATTGTTCTCTGTCCCTCCGTTTCTACGCAATTTAGTCTCTTAGTTTGGAGACCCTGGCTGAAACTTTCCAAATTTCTCAATCTTTTTATTTATTTTTATAAATGAACTTGAATATACATATATTGTATATATCATTTTTTAAATTCTTTTTTAATTTAAGATTAGTTCAACAGCTAATTGTTTTATTGATAATATTAACTAACAATGATTTTTTAATAAGAACATTTTTTAGACCTAAAATTTTAAATTTTAATTTAAGCTTAAACAAAAAAATTTGTGTTTGCAATATCAAAAGTGCACTGCAACTGCACTTATAAACATACACACACTACTAAAAAACAAGAGAGAGAATAACAACTACAGCAATATGACATCCACCTGATTAAGAGAAACTGCAAGCTTTATCGGCTCTCTTTTGATTTCCCAACTTCTTTTTTCTGCTGTTTGTTGTTGCTTTTTCTGCGCGTCATTTTTGCAGCAGACGTCAGCGTTGACGTCGCTGCCGCTGCCTCTGCCGGCGCCGCTTTCTTTTGTCGCGAATTTGGAATTGAAAATGCATTTCATTTGCAAAAGTTTCGCTGCAACGAAAACAACACGGCGGTTCGCGGAATCGTACTTCCTCTCTTCACCCAGCTGCAACTGTGTGCGTGTTAATTCGCTGTATGTGTGTGCGTGCCTACACTGCAATTCGTGACGGATTTTTGTGGATTTCAAAAAGAAAAATAGTTTGCATTTGACAGGTGCAATCTGTGTCCCCTCAAAAAAAAAAAAAAACAGAAAGTGTGTGGGTGCATCGTCATTTTGCAGCACAACTGGTAAGCGAGAAAATTGATTAAAATTCAGATTACAAAGGGGGGAAATATATTTAAAAAATATATGTAGCTTAAATCTTAAGTATTTGCGTGAGTTTGTGTGTGAAAGAGAGAGAGCGAGAGAGTGCAGCCAGAAATTGCAATACACACAAACAAAAAGCGGCCGGCTTGCTCTCCTCTTCCTCTTTCTCTCTTCCTCTTCTTCTCCTCTTCCGCCCCTCACCCCTTCGTCATTCCACTTTTGGATGCACTTGGTGCGATTCATTTGCCTTTATTACCATTTTTGCCCGTCTCTGCACTGTTTTTTTCCTCATTTTGTGGGGGCTTTTGGCACGGTGGCAACCCTGGCAGCCAAATGCGTTGGTGAATAAGTTCTCTACCCTTTTGTCAGTGTGGGACGCGACTTTGAAATGCTTGCAGCTAGCGGTAATGCAGCGCAAAAGTGCAATAATCGCAAATAAAAATATTCACAAAAACTTTAGCCACATAAAACTTTTTATAAAAATATAACTCAACTAGTGAAATACTCTCTAATATTGCACAAAAAAAAAAATTAAAAAATTTGTATTTTAACAAAGTGTGCGTGAAAATGTGAAAAAAAAAACATTTATTGACAAGTTAACAATTAAAAATCCAAAAACTACTGAAGCCAAAAGAAAAAGTGTTCTAAAAGGACAAAAGAAACACCTTAACTAAAAAAAATATTTGTTATACTACTTAAATACTGTTTAGAGAAACAAAATGGTTTACAGAAACTTAAAAAAAAGTAATCAATATAAACTCCTTTCTTTGTCTTGCAATTATTTGTTTGGATAAAACTAACAAATAAATATAATTAGAAAATTTGCAAAAAATTCTTTCACATAAACCTAAAATGAGAAATGTACGAATTCAATGCTATCAGATAATTGTAGAAATTATTATTCCTTGTTATAAATAAAAGATTCTTTAAAAAAATTAACAGTTTCTTGCCTTGAAATCGGTAATATAAAACCTTATTCAAGTATTTTTTGTTAAACATTTTTCTCTAAAAAGAAAAGTTCTAAACATTTTCTTAGCCAAAAAAGCTTTAATTAAAAAACAAATTAAATCTAAACTAAAATGTTACATTTCTGTGCTGCAATTTTTAGTCAAACAAAAACCAATTGAAGGCAATTAAAACGCATTTTCTCTGCAATTGATGATGACCTACGACAAAGGAAATGAAGTCATACCCATACACAGGCGACTCACACGCACACATGCACGCCGCAAAGCAAAGTGCAGGCCAAAAGCGAATAAGCAAAAAAAAAACACAATAACAACAACAAGGGGCCCTACGAAAGCCAACAACAACAAGTTGAAAATTGCACTGCGCATGCACATGCACACACACCACTGTCAAACTCAAACACACAGATACACCAACTGAGCGATATTGCAGTGGTATTTGTGCGCTTTTGTTCGCTTGCAAAAAGAAGAAGGAGCTTGAAAAAATACTTAAAAATATAATTAAAATTGAAAAATGACTTTATAGGCTGTTTAAAAATATCCACGAAATTCGGAAGCTTTCCCAGCTTTTATTTTTCCCCATTTTCGATCCTATTTGCTTGTGCTCATATTTTATTTTATTAAAATGCGCGTCATGCCAACGGCAGTTGAATGCACTCGGCCTTTGCATCGAATGGCTTCCCCTTTAGCTGATAATGATAATGAACAGATTAATCGCTTTTTTTATTATATATATTTGTAAGCCAGATGAGTTTTAAACATTTTTCTGCCAAAAAACAGATTTTCGCTATTTCAATATGTCAAACTATTAAACTTAGTTTTTTAAGGGAATTTTTTGCTTGAATTCAATAGATTCATTAAGAACATTTATGAAATTTAAGGTTAAAATATTTAATATAAAATTTAAAACTTTAAAAGAAAGCTATTTTATTTCAAAGATGTAATCCCTTTTTTCTTTAAGTAATAACATCTGAAAGATTATAAGCCTCGTTAACAGCTCAACTGCTATAGTGTTATTTGTGCTCAATTCTTTTTAAAATAATGACCTCATCACCGAAAATGTAAAACTTTTTCAAGTCTAATTTATTAAATTAAAAAAAAATCATCATGGTAATTTATTTCAATTAAATTATAACTATTTTGGTTCTGACTCATAGTCCAGCGTTTCCCTTTGACCTTGATTGAATTATTTAAAGTGAAATGGGTAGTGCAATTATTAAATTCTCTGCGAACCCCAGAGCATTCCATTGCACTTTGTGGTTGTTCCTCTCTTGGCCATTTCCTCATGTTGTGTATCTACAACTGGAATTACTCATCATCAGCATTTCCATAGAAATCAAAGCTCACAACAAAAGAATGCGAAAAAAGTAGGGGACAAATGCTTAACTAATAAAAAAAAAATAATATTTAAACATTTGTTTAAGTCCTTTAATTTTATTAAAAATAATAACAGCTTCAAAAACAAAAATAACTAACAAACAACATTATAAAAACAAAAAACAATCAATATTAAATAAATGACTTTAAAGCATTATAACCCAAAATGTTAATAAGTTTAAAAAACTAAAATCAAAGTTAATGTGAATTTATAGAATCCTTTTAGGACTTAAAACTTCATAAACAGAAAGGCAACAACAAAAAAATCTACAAATGGCAGCACTTTTCCTACTTCCTTCTTTCATACCATTTGAACTCCTTCCTTTCGATGGGCAAGGGAGAGAAAGGGATGGGTAGAGTGGTGCCAAAGGACAATGGTTCAAGTGCAAAGAGGATGCCAAGCCACATGCAACAATGCCAACAACAAGGACCGAGCGAACGCCGAAGGACATGCCATGCAATTTCCTTCTCTATGGTGAGTTGCAGCTATTGCGTATACGCCGTGTGGTGTATAGAGCGAAAGAGAGGCGGCTTCTGTCGTCTGGCCAGACAGAGAGAGAAACTATTTATAGCAGTGAGCTCCAAAACCGAGCTCAGCCTTGATTCCGCCCTTGAACTAACATTGCTGGGAAACTATTCCTGTATCTCCAGTCCCGTCCTGTTTTCGTACCCTTCGATTCGAACCCAGCAGTCATCACAGCTGGAAACCAGTTGGCGTACCATATATCGGGGGGATATGGGAGGTAATCGGTAAGAGGTAGTTGGGGTCTTGGGCATCCAGTGCATACATATGTCGCCAGTCAAGCGGTGATTTTTGTGTTTGCGGTCCCCTTTTTACCCCATGTCCTTGCCTCTCGAACTGAACTCAGCAGGCTTTGACATTGATTTTGTGCATCCTGCATCTGTATTGTGTATCTGTGTTTCCATTCCTATGCAACCCAGCAACTCCCACCCAACTCGACTCAGCTGTCAGCAGTTGCTGATGTCATGGCAGTTTATTTATACAAATAATTTGATTGTTTAGCAAACACTTTAATATAATAGCACCAAACTCGAAGAATATGATAGCTGATATGGGCTTAGAGTAATATGAGAAGTAGCACCGAGTAAGGTAATATTTAACCTTGATTTTGTCTGTTAAAAGATACATTTCCCTGTTATCGCAATCGGAGAAGTTGTCAATGTTTGAAGAGCAGTTGAGATATCAAATGAAATCACCATATGATATGTAGGTGTCGTATTATATTTGATTTTCTAAACTGTTTAAATGTTTTACTATTACATTTTAATGTTAAAAATATAAAAATAACCCCAAATGGTAAATACAAAAAGTTGTTTTTAAATAAAATACATTCATCATAAAACAGTTCTTAGGAAAGAGTAGGAAAAATTTATTATTGCCTAGCACTAAATCTTGGATATTAAATTAATGTTTTAACGTCGCATAACAAAACTATTCTCTACAGAACTTCAAAACCTTTTTTTCTTTCTTATAATTATTCAAAATTGATGCGTAATAAAGGCAAAAATATATTTTCACGATAAAAAGTGAGCTGGATGATGAAACAGAAATAAGAACTACAATTGAAACTTGAGCAAACAAAGGGCTACGTAAAATGTTTGCAAATTGAATTTCAAGTAAATATGAGCTATGCAATGTGAAATGTAAATACACAGAGAGAAACGCACACATATAAGCCACGGAGAGACTACATCTACAAAGGCAGCGATGCATTCAAAGATAGATCTATAGACGGAGGAAAAGTCTCTCAGCTTGTTTCTTGGCTCTGTGTTTGTGTGTGTCGGTGTACATCTTTGTATCTATCGGATGCAGTTTTACGCTTTAAAAGGAATTCTGTAGTTTATGCATGCGATGCGTTGTCTATATAAAGTTGTTTCCCCATTTCCCCCACCGTCCCTGTCGCCCCAGCTGGCGTCTCTTTCGTTCGCCATCATGCCCTCTCTTTCTATGACTGTACTCTGGGAGCCATGGAAACGACGTCATCGCATCATCGTCGTGCGTTGAGATGCCGAACCTAGTCAGCAATGGCGGCCTCCTCTTCATTTCCCATATCCCATCTCCCAGTCCCCCAAAATATATAAAAAAAATGGCAAAAATAAATATAAATATAATGACAGGAGAACAAAGAAAATGGGGATATTGGAAAAAAGAAACTACAAGTAAAAGAAACAAAAAGGTAAAAGTAAGAAAATAAGAGGTGGAAAAAAAGCTACAGAAGAAATGAAAAAGTTAACTGAAAGAACAAAATAATTTTAAAAGGGAAGAAAAAACATAAAGAATAGGTACTGTATCAACCAATTTCGAAATTAAAAATGAATTTATTGTATGCAATGAAAATATAAGACACTCAAAGAATAGGGAACTGAAAAATGCATCAAAAACTAGCCGCAACAACAATGCAAGTACTTCAACCCTCACGCCGCCCACTTGCTCATTTTGCACCGAGTCAAGTCCATGTTCTTGGCTCTCTTTTGTGTATCTATAGAATGCGTTGTCTTCCTCTTCAACATTTTGCCGGCTGCATCTACAAAAACTACGAAAAAGCGAGATGAGAGGGCTCATAAGCAGCTTAGTGCACAATTAAAGCCTTCATTTATTTTTTTTTCTTTTTGAGTCAAAGTGTCTTTGGCAAAGTATTTCAATTAGCGGCAAAAACATATTACGCATACGCCACGTTGCCTGTTGGTGAAATAAAAGCGGATTAAGAGGCGGGTTGAAAGCAACAAATTCATCAGGGAAATGCATGGGAGATAGTAAAGAATCTTTAAAAATTCCGGCTGATACTTAGAGATTGAAAAAAAAATGTATAATATTAGGGGAAGTGGTTAATATAAAAGTCTCCTTTTAAATTTCCTGAGAATTCTGTTATAGTACTTTAATTAATTCTTTTTCTGCTTTGCAGCCATGCAAAATGCTTATAGAAAATAAGGAATGGTTGAAGAAAGAAGATTCCGATGGAACTTTATAAAAATGCTGATGAAATTTGGAAAGTGCTTTTGTCTTGATATATATATTGATATATTGTTAATAGTGCAAAATTAATAGTGAAGGGGAAATTAATTAAAATATATATTAAACCTACTACAAGCTTGTTAAAGCTTAATAAACATAAATGACTTCGTTAATGCTACAAATTGCTGGTCACAATTGCGTATACGCCATGTTGACTGTCAGAAACTACCACAGCAGATGCACCTGTTCAAAGCTCGCTCTCCTGCTGTGTCATCAATAACTAACGACCATAATCCTGGTCACCCGTGGCTCGTCTTTCCCCCTTTCACCGTTTATTTTTCTGTTTTTATATACCAAGGAGCATGTCAAATGCCTTTTGGTTGCCAAGCAATTGAAACGCAGATGAATTCAGAACGGTAGATTGACTGTTACAGAGGGTCGACAACAGATTAACCCTTGGCGAACTGCTTGGTTGACTTTTATGCCCATGTGCAGGCGGATCACCCTCTTAAAAAAAGGTTCCAAACTGGTCCCATAACTGTACTTGTGCGAAAAGAAACAAAACGTATTTAGAGCATGACCATCAAACAAAAGGGGGAATCCTCATCAAAAGAAAGGGGACATATAGTACAAAGAAGGAATAAGGGAAATAAAAGACAGACTGAGGGTAATATATAGAGATTGCATTCCAGGTCGTACAAAGGGTTAGCTTTGTCTCTACATTGCAATTTGCAAAATATTTCCATGTGTACGTATTTTTTTTTCTGCTGCTGTCGTTCAAATGCATCGTAATGAATGTCATCCGTTTCACTTTGAATTATGTCATCCACTGTGACACACTTTTCCGAACACTAGCTGCTTAGACACACACACACCCGTTTGCATATATATATATATATGTATATATATTTATATATATACACAATCATATATATGTAAATATAAACATGGATAGCCCAACCAACGGTTTCTCATTAGCCATAGACCCCTTCCTTTGCTGTTTTCCCCATTTGGTCTTTGCTTTTATTAAGGCTTTGTTTCCTTTTTTGTTATGCAAGTGTATAAATGTATATTATCTAATATATGAAATAGAGACAGCTAGGGTTCATTTTAAAATTTAATTTAACCTAGGCTTAAGTAATTTATTTATCATTTTAATTTTATAAAGGAATGCAGACAAATTATTTTTTAAAGTATTTCGTTTCGTTTAAAAATGAGCTATCAATAAGGTCATAAAACATTTTAAAATTTCGCTGTATATATTATAACCCATCCGTTAATTGTGTAATCCGAGTTGACTCAACAATTACAACGAATTGCAATAAATTACGGAATTACGACTAGACACAATAGACACAATTTTAATAGCTAAAATGTTCTAACCGACGTCAATAAATAAATTCTCACATTCCCCTATTTAAATGAGCAAAATTTAAATTGATGTGAAAAGCAAAAAATGTACATCGAGTTGAAACCAATACACAGAAAAGATCAGCAGAATTATAAATTGTTAGATTATTTTATGTTTCTTACAGTTACAAATTTTGACTTAATTTGAAATAAAAGTTAATGCTAAATTGGCTTTGATGAATTTAAGTTTTGTAAATATCCGATGATTTATTAATTTTTTCATACCAAAAAAACGTAGCAACATTATTTTTGTAAATGTTCTTTGGTGTTTTATTTTTAAGCTGATCAACTCCACAAACATGAAATCATTACTTTGGGTTTCGATTTAATAAGATTTTATCATAAACATAAAGCCAAATTGCAGCCTTCATTCAGCACCATCAAATTTTGGTAAATCACCTTCATTCGTGTGTGTCGACCAGAAATGGCATGAAAATTATATGGTGACTGCCCTCACAACTTCTTCCGATCTTCTGTAGCTGTCCATGTCGCTGAATTTAACGGTACAAATAATTTATGCCGCCAGCCAAAGAAGAAACTTATAAAGAATTGGCCCGAAACAAAAGAAAAACAGACAATGAACTCGGACAGAACAGAACTCGACTAAAGGCGGAAGTTCGCCAAAGAAGCCAATTGAATGCAACAAAGTTGAACCAGCCAAAAAAAAAGAACACACAACTCGAGTTAAAGAACAAGTGCAGTTCAACGAAACTTTAAAGTTTTGGTGAAAGGGGCAAATCAAAAATAAGGAAATAACCTTTTTGTAAATACTCTTTCGGAGGTTATACTTTTAATGGCTATATAAAGGTTACAAAATGTTAAAAAGGTATCTTATTCTTTTAAAATTTTGTAAGAATCCACGTACATTTTGTCTTTTGAATTATTCAAATATTATTAAAATATTATTTTTATATACATTAGTTTAAATATTTGTCAAACATTTGTATTATAGAACATTAACTATTTCGAAGAGTTACTTTGCTATTTTTAAAAACTCTTTTGATTAAGAAGGTAGAAAGAAGAGACATCGTAGAATGGAGACTGGGGAACGATGGTGGAAAGAACTCCAGTTAATTGGCAGCTGCCTTGAG